ATGAGGCACTTAGCTAAGATAGACGGGGAATTTTCAAGATCAAACATATAAATGTTATCTACTCTACTACCACAAAGAATAGTCCTATTGTCACACAAGCGTTCTACAATGCATTTACTAGAATCAAAGATGACACGGTTACCTCTATCGCACAATTGGCTAATGCTAAGAAGATTGTGCTTGAGGCCCTCAACAAGAAGAACGTTCTCAACGGTTGTAGCATTGTCTCTTCCGACGGTGCCACTTCCAATGATTCTTCCCTTGTTGTTGTCACCAAAAATGACATTGCCGCCTTTGAAATACTCTAAACTCCTAAATTTGGATGCGTCTCCGGTCATGTGCTTGGAGCATCCGCTATCGAGATACCAAGAGGTACTCGAAGCCTTCAAGCACACCTACAAAAAGATATCAAGGAGACGGTTTAGGTACCCATATATTGTTGGGTCCTTTTTGGTTAGCATATGTGCGATGTGTGTGCGTTTGTTGAAAATGCCTAATTTTGGTGAAGCACACGGGTGCAATGTGACCTATCTTATTGCAATAGTGGCAAATAACATTTGGATTATTCATCCTATATGGTTGAGTGTAATGAGTTCTAGGTTTGCTAGGATGTGCTCTTCTAGTTTGATTATTTATCCTAGCATTTTTATTCCCCCTAGCTTTAACAAATGTTGTTTTTCTAGGTTGGTTTTTCTTATATCCAAGTCCTTCACCATTACTAACTTTTTGCTTAAGAATTTTATTTAAGGTGTTTGAAGCATTATTGATTTTTCCCAATTTACTTTCTAAAGTAGCAACTTTAGCTTTTAATGAAGTACAACTAGAACATGTAGAAGAAGAAGTAGTTGTAGGTTCTTGTGGCCTTTTTCCAAAAGATATAATTTCTTGTTTAAGTTTATCATTTATATTTTTGAGTTCTTTTACATCCTTCTCAAAAATCAGGATTTTTTGTTTAACTTCATTATTTTCTTTGGAAGCGTTTTTGAACATTCCTACTAAATCTTCTATAATGCAAGCAACATCATTAAGAGTTAAAGAATCATTGGGAGAAGGTTC